ACCTGTTATCCTCTCCACAGCCAAAAAAAAAAAAAAAAAAAAAAAAGAGTTTTATAGTGCAAACCAAGCTGTCTAGGAAAGAAGAATCAGGGGAAACAGCAATTGACTGACTTTCCGAGCAGAAAAGTAAGCCTCGAGTGGGAAATCATGTTCCCAAAGAGTTCATGTATTTTCAAAGATAATCTAGCTATCGACAAAACCTGAGATTCACCTGTATTTTTATAAAAACTGAGAATGAATCAAAGCAACAATACAGTAAGTTTCCCTAAACAGAAGAAGTCTGTCTTCTGCTAGAATAAAACTTGTTTTCATTTTAAGCGTTTCGTGTATTTAAATGGAACTCTGATGAATTGGAGAGGAAGAGGCGTATCACTTTCCCAAAGGCAACAAATCTACTTAAATGGGTGTTTTAGAGAACTCCTTTGTGTGCCTGCAGCCCAAGAGAAGCTTGAGAATCCCACGAGCTGGGCTGGGCTTCCCTCCAAGCTGACTTGGGGTATGGTCTTGCCAAGTGCCAGGAAAAGCAGAAAGTTTCTCCTAATGGGACTCATTGTCCCTTGAGAAAAAGAACGGCAGTAAAAAGATAGCACATGACAAAGTGGACAAAGCACATTATCACAGCATCATATGACAGTGACTGTTCTTTAGGGCATCTTAGGATAAGAATAGAATGGTGTGTACCCATTATAGGATTATAATTTCCTACATATTTTTTGCTTGCCTTGTGTTTGCTTCTTTTTTTAAAAAAAAAGATCAACAAGATTTAATCCATTTTGGATGCCTTATTAATCCATTTTTCACTTGTTCATTTGTTAATTTATGTACTTTGCCAAGTAAAAACTATGACTATAGTCTATTAAAGACTACCATCCATTTCATTTGAGGATTGTGTAAGTAGACAATCCTACTGCCTTTGAATTTACCCTGAAGAGAATTAAGCTCATCTTATCAACCTCTTGGACTTCATCATGCTAAAATAAAGTCATGCAAGAGGTATCAGAGATATCTTTCTCACTCTGTCTTCTGTGTTCAACTGATGAGCAGCTAGATGAGACCAAAAAGAAATTGGAAAATGCAGAAGAGCAGAAATCAAGAAAAATGGGACAAAGGAACAGAGAGGGAGAAAGGAGTCACAAAAATGGAAGAGAGGAAGAGACTGAGCAACTGATTTTTACTATCTGAAGATTAAATCATCAACAGAGCTCTGACATGCAGTACTATAATTCAGCCCCATGACTTAATCAAACACATTTATGACACATCCAGATCTGACATTGCAATTTTAATCATAAAAACATTTAACCAGAACCTCCCATTACCAGAAGCTACAGAAATCTGACACAACTTACAACTGCATATCAGTGTATTTACATTTTGTGGTAAACCTCACCCAGTGCACAACAGCTTGGCTCTGCTGAAGTTAACAAAGCTACCACAATTTATGCCAGACCAAATACAAACACAGACTATAGCAGTCAGTGCTGTTGGTCCATTATAAAGGAACAATATTTGGGATGTAGAAGCAACATAAATTCACAATCCTTTCTCTCCTCTCTTTCTCTTATTGCATCCCTTAAAAGGATAGAAGAAGTTCCACTATTTTTCTGTGCTCATGCTATGTTCTTTATAGTGAATGATTTATGATTCCGAAGGAACTAAAACAACACACAAACATTCCATAGGGGAGTTTCCAAGCTGGGACCCTGAAGAAATTCTGACAGCAGCTACAATTAACTCAGAATACTACTACTACAATTAACTCAGAACACTACTACTACTAACTACTACTGCTAGCAGTAACTACTATGCATTACTTTTGCATACTGCCCCTTTTGCACAGGGATGGATAGTCAAGCAAATTTCAGAGTGGGAAACCCCTGCAGAAGGAGTAGACATGTATAATTTACCACAAGGGTGTCACGTCCTTTTAGCTCCCCTATTTGCTTATAGAGTCATTGTTAGGTTAATTCTTTGCAACTACTTCACAGTAGGAAGAAAAACAGAATCGCAGTGACTGCTGCCCTACACTTCAGAGTGAAGTTGTTCTCTTGTTAATTCAGAGGGAGGTTTGAAATAAAACCTTTTCTCTAACTGCAAACTATTTTTATCTTCCTCACAACTACTCTACCTTGATGCTACTTATCATCAAACATTAATACCCTAAAAGCTCCAACTTGCAGTGGGCGATGTTGAGAAATGTAATTTGCCTGCCTGCCCTTAAGAATATCCACCCTGTTCTTTAATTGAACGTTTTTTATTGCAGCACAGAAGAAAAACATCCTGACTCATGGCTGGCTGAAGTCACCTGAGGAGCCTGGAAGCTCCCACTGCACAGCACAGCAAAGTATAACACCACTGAAAGCTGGCAGGATATTATCCAAACCTATCACACGTATCATCTCACAAATGCCAATTACTGCCTATAAACCAACCCCTCACCCGGCTACAACACTATTCACTTGATTACACTATGGCATTCTGTCTCTCTTTAGTGAGTCATCAGTAAACAATATTTGGTTTTAGACCGCTAATTTCATCTCTCCATCGTAAATTACTGATTAATTCTGATAAAGGCATTCAGAATCATACAGCTATTGACTGCACATTACAAGTTACATCAACACATATATCTCAGCACACTTCAACAATTTAACTATTGAATAATGCCACATACTCATATTTTACCACTTCCACAATTTTCTGGAAAGAGTTTTTTAAAATGCTACAGTAAAAGTCATATCTTTTTCCAAATAACTTATTTTAACAATGTATTCTATATTACACATGTAAGGGACAGCATTAAGTCAGAAATAATTGATGAATTACGAGGGTATGAAGAGAAAGTAGGCTCTGCACTTTAAAATAGTGCTAGAATAGCTCAAAAAAAAAAAAAAAACAGATTTCATGCTAACTTCAAATCAGACATGTCCATGTTCTTTCTCTTGAAAATGAAGCATTTGGTCAGAAGAAATATGCCTCCCTATTTTCTCTAGATTAATCTTCATCAAGCTATGCTATTCTATTTGGAGCTATAAGGACATGCTGCAAAACCAGCCGCACACTAATCTTAACAACACAGACGCAAGCACGTAACATTGTAATGCAGCTCCAGAAAGATTTCTGTTGCCAGAAACCTCCCTTTATAGGAAACATATTTTCTTAACACTCCAAAAAATAAATCAATTATATGTTTAGTCCTGGTTCATACAGCTGGAGAAAAAGTTTTGAAAATTAATAAACATTTCCTGGTGAAATGTTTCTGAACTTTGGGAAAACATTTTACTCTGAGTTATTTTTTCACCAGATCTTTAGGGGAAAAGGCAGCACACTCCAGACATTGAACTGTTAGTAGATGAATTACCATTTAATGACAGGTCACGTATGTCTCTAGTCTACACTACTGTGAGAGCTGTATGTAACATCCACAACTCAAAAACCGTGAAGTTTACTTGTGCATTGGTTTCTAACAAACTCCAGTGTCAGACCACGTTCATCAAAAGGTATGCTAAAACTTACAGACATTTCCAGCAAACCTGTGCTGATTTATGGTCATGCATCAAAATCATGTAAAACTTGCAAGGTTGACACAATTCTTGTTGAAATTTGGCAGATTCAAGTGGGTTTCATTTGCAGTCCCACTGAAACTAAACTTTAAATAAAGCTCAAGGGGTGTGAACTCACATAGTTTGAAAGTGAAGCACAGAGCTATACAACATTGC